ATGAATAAATTAATGGGTTTGTAGTTAATTTGCTGAAAGATTACTTTTTTATGAATGATTTATTGAAGGATAATTATAACCAAAGTAGAGAGGAAAAATAATTCGTCAAAATTAGCCATGATCTATAATACATTGTGTAGAAAAGTTATACAGCTTTTACTATAACTTCTGCCATAACTTAATAACCAAATTTCAATAATTTGCAGCTGAAAAAGATAAACTCAACAAGAATTTAGAAGCCATTGAGACCAAGTTAAAAGATAAAGATACCGAATTAAATGATATGATGCAAAGAATAGTCCAACTGGAAAGTGAGTTACTCTAAATATAAAGAAGTAAAAAGATTTTTAGTAAGATTAATATACTATTTGAAGTTTATCATATCCTTTCAAGAATTTTATATAAAAATAACGATGAATAATGGACTAACTAAATTCTAATTGAAAATATTTACTCTACCCTACGGATAAAGATGAGAAAAAAGCTGTAATAGTAGAAAAAACCAATTTATCGGAATCATTAGCCAAAGAATCACTCATGAATCAAACTTTACAAGAAGAATATGATTTGATGAAGGAAGAATTGAAGAACTTAAAAGAAAATGTTATCCAATTAGAAAGTATAATATTGATTCGTTGTGAAATATTTTGACAAAATTACTTTGCCTTAGTATACAGAATTATGATAGAATGAAATATCCAAAAAATGATAGCATGAACAATTTATATTTGATAAGATTGCCTTTAATCTATTTTGGATAGTCCATTTTTATATCTTTTCTTGATTATATCCTTATATCAAGCTCAAAAGCGGATAGCTGAAGATTTGGTTCATAAATTAGAATCTGAAGCTGAAAGTAAAGAAAGCAATACGACGGAGTCAACAGAAAGTAATTATTGATATTATAAAGTCTATTTTAGATAGGAAATTGTCCAATTTTAGCGCCTTCCTATTAGAGTTATAATAGAATTTAAAGCATAATATACCTTTAGTTCATTGTTGGAACACACATAAATTCTACTTCAAGTTATTAACTGTAAATAATTTACATCTATACTGTAAATTTTTTCTTGTTATTAAAAGTGTCTTTAGCGATTGCCTAACACAATTTTCGCATAATATTCGCTATAAAGTGCTAAAAAATGCTATTTTATAGATGGATGGTATCATTAGCTTGTATTAGACTTAATTTTAAGCAAACACGATACTTTTAATCACTGTATAGAGGAAGAAAGTCGTGCTGCCGGAGCACCTTCTATGAAGATTATTTTAGGTATGATTGTAAAATGCACTTACTAAGACTTAAATTTTAACTTGCTGATTGTTGGGGACTATTTTAATCCACTAGGATTTGTGATTTTTATTAGTCATTTTGATGCTTACTTATTGTATTAGTACTGAAGTATCGGTCATGATAGCTATACTTATGAAAACTGAAAAAGGCTAAAATTTAGAGCTATGAGATAAATCTGTAATTTTGATATTGATCTATCTTTAAGGATCTATATTAGTCATTTTAGGCGATTATTTATTGCACTAGTTTTGTTACGGTAGCTACGCTTACGAATATTTAAAAGGCTAAAAATATTGCTATAGTATAAGCTATATCTTTAATGCATGATCTACTTTTTAAGGATCCATACGGCTTATAAGCTACTTTATACTTAGAATAGGGTTGTTGCATACGTGAATCTAAACTAAAATTACTAATACTTACTGTTAAATTCTAAGTTATAGTGTTGGTCAATATGGTCTCATATCGGTTACTTTTATGGAGAGCTGATTATTAGTTAATGTTAATTCATTCTTGCAAAATTGATTTGTTCACTCTTGGATATCAATTGCAGTTATGATTGCTCGACATTTATCGCTAGCGTATAATTTGCCATGATTGATCGAGGAGTCAGTATTTGATGTAAATACTATATGATACAACAATACGCATTTTATGCTTAAAGAGTGCAGCAAAATAATTGTACGATGCACGAAATGCTAGATGTAATAGCATAAAATTGGACGAGTAATTGTAATAATAGTATTAATTATTTACTTTATCGAAACTACAGAAGCAGAAGAGTCAACATCGTCTTCCGAAAACCAACAAGGTAATTGCGAAAGAATAAATAGTTTGATCATTTTAGGACATAAATTGGCATGATATTAGCTAATTTAAAACGCCCATACTTTGATTATCCTAGAATTTTTACTTTCATAATTTTAACTTTTTTAAAGAGTTAATTTATTAAATGGGTCTACCCTTGATTCTGAAATTTCATTTTCTCCGCGATTTTAACCGTATTGAAAAAATTAATTAATTTAATATATTTATACATTGATAATTCTGAAACTTTATTTTCAAAATTTTAGCCAATCTGACGTCGAACATATCTATGTTTTGACGATTTTTAAAATTCTACTTTCATAATTTTTAACCATTCTGAAACGTCGATTTATGGAAGTTACATTACAGTATATATACTTTGATGATTCCAATTTTTTTCGTAATTTAAGTGATTCTAAAGTATCAATAATTTTAGCAATTCTGATACATCGATTTACCTAAGTAAAAGTATCTATACTTTGATGGTCCGAAAATTATATTTCATAATTATGACCGTTTTGAAATATCGATTTATTAAAGATATAGCAGCTATACTTTGATGATTTAAATTTCATTTTCGTAACTTTAGTGGTTTTAAAGTATCGATGATCTTAACTATTTTGAAATATCGATTTACTGAAGAAACAGTATATACTTTGATGATCTGGAAATTACATTTTATAATCTTAACCATTAAGAAATATCGATTTACTGAAGATACAGTATCTTTACTTGATGGTTCTAAAATTCTAATTCTCTGATTTCTAATAATAAATCAGTAAAAGTTCGACGACTACGATTATCAGGCATGGATAACGCCACTGGCTTGCCATCAGAAATGTTGACTGTGACTGGATTATTGCAACGAAGAAATAGTTTTGATTTTCCCAATGATCAAGAAGTAGGCTTAGCAGCTATGGAAATGGGAGAGCCTAATATTGATAGTACTAAAGGAATTTATACTGAAGTTGGAGTGCAATGTGAGTTAGGTAAAAGTACATTATTACGATTATTACAAGGGCCTGAGACATCCGATGCTATTGCTGACGATAAAACTCCACTACTTGCTAACTCCAAACAAAGTAGTAGTGTGGCATCCAAATTGCCGTGTTGTGCAATTATGTAATATTTTTAATGCCTATTCACTATTCAATAAATTGAAAACAACTAGAATACCAACCTAATCGACAAAATGACCTAGATGATCATGTCCAACATATAATATCATTCCTTGCATACGATAATTTTTCGTCATTCGACATCGTTAAGTTAATTTGAATACCGGTACTAATTTAAATAGCTAAACTATCTATCATTTTTTTATTAATTAGAATTAAAGTATTATTATTGATGACAGTGTGATATTTTGACGCCATCTTGCTCTTTACCTTTGTAATTCTTAGCACAAGTTCTACTTTATTTAGAATTATTTTGCTGTATCGAGATAGATGATCTCGAGTTTATTTATACATAGTATTGAAGTACTCAGTCTAATCTTGTCAACATCTTAGGAGTAATTGTACTGTATGTTTTTTAGCCTCTTGCACATGCTATATTACTATATCTGAAGCTGAGTACCCCCCTGTTTGCAATTTTATCTATTTTAAATGATGATATTTTTTATTTTATGCTGATATTTCACTCATGAATATTCTACCTACTTAATCGATTATAATCATAAAATTAAGCGGTATAAATATAGAAATATCTGTACTTGATCAATTAATGACCTTAGTCCTTTTTATGCAATAATTTTAGCTACTACTATCTGCGGCGATATTAAATATGAGTGGTTAATTATATTCATAAGCGACAATTCAGGATATTATTTCTCAGTTAATCCCTTTAGGTGTTTGTTAATAAATAATAATTTAATTCCATTGAATGGTATATTTCTGCTTTGGGTCAAGATTCCCTATTGCTGAATAATTTTGAGCTTTTCTCCTTCACAAGAGACGGTTATAATTTGAGTTATAGGCTTTAGTCTTGATGACATAGAGACTAATACGATTCTTGGATGCAATTTGGTCTTAAAATGTGTAGAAAAATGACTGAAGAATTTAGCGGATTTTATTGACGCCATTTCTCTCTTAAAGGAGAAAGTGCGTTCTTGAGCCGTATGATGTTGACTAATTTGATTAATAAATGTAATATGAAGCTGCTATAAAATTGTTGAAGACTTTTGCTAGAGTTTAGGCTAAGATTAATTTGATTAATAGAGTAGATGTGATAAAGATCTACTACAGGAATGATGGAAAAGTTAGGAGCTAGGCTAACGTGCTAAGATTAAATTCGATGGATAGATGTAATAGAAATCTACTACAGGAATGATGGAAAGTTAGGAACTAGGCTAATGGATGAAGATTCATTCAGTTAATAGACATAACAGAGATCCAATACAGGAATGATAGAAGAATTTTTCTATAAGCTAGACTGGCCAAGATTAATTTGGTTAGTGGATATGCTATCGATCTGCTAAAAGAATAATGAATAAATTTTGGTAGGAGCTAAGGGGCTAGCATTAATTCAGTTAATAGATGTAATACAGATTTGTTATAAGAATGGTGGAAGAATTTTACTAGGAGTTAGACTAAAAGGGCTAAGGTTGATTCGGCAAATAAATGTGCTATAGACCTACTATAAGGATGATAGAAGAGTTTTCCAATTTATTCATAAAATAAAGCTAACCTGTTGGTAAAGGCATCAAAAATTTTAGCTATATTTCTAAATATTGACACTAATTATTAAAAATAGAACTTAAGTTTTAAATTCTATCCAAGCAAAAGTGATTTCATAACAATCTTGCCATATTTTAAAGTTTAATCGAGAATCAGTAGCTAACGAAGCGAAAATAAATAGGATCGGAATTCAGGTTATTTCGAATTGATATTTTATGAAACTAATCAGCGTCTTCATCGTTTGAATTATTGTTGACATGGCGCTTTTTAAGATTTTCCCCTATCTCCAGGTATCTGCTCATACATTCCTCCTAAAGTAAGGCCAATTTGGGATGGATAGTGTTGAAAATATGAGTAATGGAAATTTTTAGCGAATTATACGACACTGAAAATAGTATTAATTTTGAGTGATGATTGCTTACTTTAGTTTTCTGGGGCACTAGCATTGAGATTAAATCCCATCGATCTTCGATTTCTTCCGGATATTCTTTCAGTGCTTCTTCCAGTTGATCGCTTTGTAGTGGAGACCATTGGCTAATTTTTTCCTCAGAGTTACCCATTTGGGTGATGTTGGCTATTTCAGCTTCTTCTTTTTTGTCATTTTCAGATGGTGTATTTGCATTTGGAATCTTATCGGTTACTAAAAGCGCAGAAAATTGTAAACTAAACTAAATATCAAGGTCTAGTTCTGTTCAAGAAATTGCAGCAATCTCTTTAGCACTCATTGGCTAAATGTTACTAGACATAGCTAGGTTGAAGTTTTAGCCTATTTCAATTCTAGTTTAATAAGATCGAAATAGATGTAGTATTACTGTCATAATTCATGTGTAATGTATTTGTATTTGCAATCTTGTCGGTTACTAATAGCTTAGGAAATTGTAAACTGAAGATTAAAGTTTATATCTGCGCAGCCAATTATCGCAATCTCTCCAGTACTCATAGGATAAATGTTGCTAGACATAGCTACGTTGAATTTTTTGCCTATTTCTATTCTAGCTTCAGAATATCTAAGCAGAAGTAGTAATAATAGCGCAGCGATAGTAGTTTTCAAGCGAACCTGTAGGAGATTTTATTTTACCAAGACTCGATTTCATTTTTTGAGCCATAGTAGCAACCTAGAACAACGGAATGATATCCATATTATTTAATTATTTTTTTCTACTAAAACTGAGATAATTCTTATTAAGAATATGAGAGAAAATTTTTAAAGTGTAACCTGCGAAGATGGACGATTCATTTCTTCTCCAATAGTTTCCCACCGATGGCGAGTTCCACCAGGATATTTCTTCATTAGCTTTGATAATGTTACAATATCATTATCGGTCCATTCCTGGAAAGAAATTGAAATATCTTGATTAGAAGTGACTATGTCTTCACTCATTGTCAACATAAACTTCTCCAATGCTGGATAAACTGTTCCATTCTAGTAAGCAGCCTAATAACGTAAGCCACTGATCATTCATTCATTTCTAGCCCTCCATTTAGCGATCAAATTAACAAGTATTGCAGAGCATGCATCCATTTTTGAGTCTATTTTGATTCTATTGCCAATATCAGCCTACAACTTGATAGGGATATTATCCTCTGTTAGATCAAGAGATCAGATCTACCTTATTGACAATTGGGCTCTTTTTTACAACAGCTGGTGTCGAGCTTGCTACATTGGATTGCGGCGCTTTCTCAGGCTTTACGTTATCCGCAACAGTGGCAGTTAATCTCTTGCTATTAGAATGATTGAATGATTCTCCGATTTATTTTCAATCCGCTGCTTCTTTCTCCTTCTACGATCCACTACATTGAATAGCATTGAGAGAAGGTAATCAACATTTCATCGTCATCAATCGAGTAGACGATTATAATAATATCGTCAACGAGATTATAAATTAGAAATGAATTTTGTCCAGTTATGGCGATTCATGAATGCTACAGCGGTATGCCTTCGCTGGCTCTTGTTGCTTAGCTCTCATTCCTATCTTATCCCGTACCTTGGATATCTTCATCTTCTTCTAATTTCTCCTTATTTCGAAAAGATTGAATTGTAGCCACAATATACTCTCGATGCTCGGGCCATGACTCGTAGAGCCATTTGCTAAAATAATAGACTCGATAAGGCAATGAATCATCCAGTTTGGGTGATTGAAAGACTTCTATTTTCAGAAAAAATTTCAAGTATTGATAGGTAGATATTAGAATAGTGATGAATGATTTCATGGCAAGCGATAGGTTGTATTAATCATGGATGGAACTTACCATAGTAGTTGGCTTCCGCAAGGCGATGTTTGGCTTTCTGCTTGGCTTTTCTTTCTAGATTTTTCTGTGTTGGCTGAGCCATATACTAAAAGGACGATCAGAATTCCTGAATTAAACCGTTTCAAATCCATGTTGAAGCTTTAATATAGTGGTTGGATGTCAGTGATTACAAGTCAATAATTAATTCTTAATATCTGGGATCAGTTTACATGCAGAGTTGAGCGGAAAGTAATGTGACTACTGTTTGTGAATAGGTGTTTAATCCTTCGCTTACAGCAATCATTATAAAATTCAAGGTAAAACAATTTCTATCTAGCTTAATCTTTTACAGAAATGGAGGTTCGAGAAATGACTTACAGTCACCATAATAAGAAGAAACTGTTTATGAATCTGTGCTGAATCTTTCACATAGAGCGACGATTAAAGGCAAAATATCAATATCTTATACCGCAAATAAATCATGTTTAACGTGAAAGCAGCTATTGCTTGTGAATCCTCGTTTCATCTTGGATATGGAAGGATGATTACAAGAAAAAAGAAGCTTATACAGGAAGTAGAGCACACTAAAATAGGATAAAGTATGGATGCATTTTTTTGATGGTATCTTTCGCATATATTGGTGATTTACAAGTAAAAATAACTAGTGCTTTCCGGGTCTACTACACGACTCGAAAGTCAATCTTGCTTAGCAAGAGAGCCATGACAGTCTGCTCTCCTGATGCATTGATCACACTAGAAATGGGCTAAAATAGGACGGAATAAGCTTTGGTTGACAGAAAAATAGTACAGAAAGTTACCTGATTAAATCGCTTGCCAAAGTAATCGCTCCATAAATAGATCCAATGACTGATTGTAGTAATAAAAATCATGAAAATAATAAATTCAATAAAGCTCATCTTTCTGGCTCTTCTGAGATAGTAAACGGGTTCTTTCCAGTCAGGAAGTCCATCTTCTAATATTCTATCATAGCTGGATGTATAGAAAATGATAAAAATAGAAAATGAACAACTTATTCTACGCAGGATTTCTTCAGCAAGAATGCTAATCTGTTCATCAATTCTCCATGGAACGAGAGGAAAGAAAATGACAAATATCGCCTTGACGACAAGAAGGAGAGCAAGGGGCAGAATGATCAATAACTCCTAAACCCTAGTTTACTTCTAGTTTAAATCCATTCTCCGTGTAACGATAAGAACTGAAAATGGACTTTCTTAAAATGGCAAACACCGCATGGATAGCATAATTAAAGGAGAACAAGGGGCAGAATGATCAATGTCTCCCAAATCCTAGTTTACTTCTAGTTTAAATCCATTCTCCATGTAACGATAGGAAATGAAAATAGACTTTGATAAAATGACAAACACTGCATGGATAGTATAAGTAAAGGAGGACAAGGGGCAGAATGATCAACATCTCCCAAATCCTAGTTTACTTTTAGTTTGAACCTGCTCTCCATGTAGCGATAGGAAATGAAAATGGACTTTGATAAAATGACAAACACGGCATGGACAGTATAACTAATTTAAGGGAGAGCAATGGGCATTTAAATCAACATCATCATGCTCATAAAGAGCGATCTAGAGTTAGCTGGTGATAAAAAGAAACATCATGGCTACTCTTCGAGTGCTAGGAGAGTCATTAGATAGAGTAGGTAGAGATTTTTCGATTAGGAACTATCCTTAATTTCCGCATTACTTTTATGAAATGATTAACGGCTTCTGCTGGACTAAGCGATAGCAATTGACGTCAAAAAAGATGGCCAGAATGAGACGTTGACAGAGAAAAAATGATTGTCTATTTTTGGCCTAAAGTTACTCATTCTCACTCAATCCTCTTGAAAGAAATAGAGCTAGCAGAAGATAAAAGTAATTTCATTCTCGAGTTATGTGATAATACTGTGATGTGAAATTCATGCTGGTAGTTTAGTGATCCATGGCAGACGAGAGTGAAGGACAACGGCAAAGAAGTTTATGATGTTCATTTTTCAATTCTAATATCCATGATGGATGAAAGCTTTATAAAAAGTGGAGAAGAACTCCTTGCACACTGGCTTAAATAGGACTAAAAGCTGCTCCATTGCATTGAATGTCAATGAGATGGAGTTGATTTTCAATCGCTATTGACAAATTGGACGCCAATTTAGCCTACTATTTTTTCTACTACGTGTGAACAAATAAAATGAGGGTCGATGAATTAATCACATGAACTTGTAGACTTGGTAGAGTAAATAATTAGACTTTATATAAAACACAATTAAGAAAACAAGATGAAAATAATACGACTAAATAGCACTGAAATGGGAATAAAATCGTTGAAATAGTCCGTTATGGTAAGCTTCTACAGAAATCGCAATCAAGCCAATAAGACGAAAATCATGGGAATCAATGATACCGAAATTTTAATCCATAAGGTTGGACTAAAACCCTTAATTATTGACGGTAAGCTTAAATATATAGGCGATGAAACAAGATGGAAATAATAATTTATGACAATTTCAATCGATGAATATTGGTTGAATTAGTCCTTGATGGTAAGCTTATAAAAAAGTGATCAAGTTAACGTGATCCATACGATTATAACGATCCATAACGTTATCCATAAGATTGGACTAAAACCCTTGAGTTAATTATTGATGGTAAGCTTATAGAAGTGATGAAGCAAGATGGAAATAATGGGACTTAATTTAGGACAATTTTAATCGATTAAATTTGGTTGAATTACTTCTTGATGGTAAACTTATAAGAAGTGATCAAGTAAGCGAGATGGAAGTAATGCGACGAAAGGAAATCAGATCAAACTGTTGAATTATCCCTTGATGGTAAGCTTGTAAGAAGTGATCAAATAAGCAAGATGGAAATAGTAGAACTGAAGGAAATGTAGAATCAAACTCTTCATTGAATTAATCTTTGATAGTTAGCTTATAAGGAGTGGTTAGCAAACAAGATGGAAATAAGGTACCTGAATAAAATTGGAGTGGAACCGTTAAAGTAGTCATGCATGGTAAGCTTGTAAAAAGTGATCAACAGACAAGATGGAAATACTGTATCTGAATGAAATCGGAGTGGAACTGTTGAAGTAGTCATTCACGGTAAGCTTGTAAGAAATGATCAGCAAACAAGATAGAAATAATAAAACTGAATAAAATTGAAGTGGAACCATTAGAGAAGTACTGATGATAAGCTTATAAAAAGTAATCGGCAAACGAGATGGAAATACTGTAACTAAATGAAATTGGAGTGGAACCGTTGAAGTAGTCATTCATGGTAAGTTTGTAAGAAATGATCAGCAAACAAGATGGAAATAATAGAACTGAATAAAATTGAAGTGGAACCATTAGAGAAGTACTGATGATAAGCTTATAAGAAGTGATCAGCAAACGAGATGGAAATAAAGCGACTAAAAGAAGTTTCAATCAAACCGTGTTATTAGCCCTTCATGGTAAGCCCATAAGATCAAGCAAAGTCGATGGAAATAATGTAACTAAATGAAATGGTAATGAAACTGTTAAAGTAGTCATTGATGGTTAACTTATAAAAAGTAATTAACGAGATGGGAATAATGTAACTAAATGAAACTGTTGCATTCATCATTGATAGTAAGCTTATGAGAAGTGATGAACAAGCAAGATGGAAGTCATGGGACTCTATCCTATACAAATTTCAATGCCTAAAATAGGAATCAAATCGTTCTAGTAATCATTGATGGCAAGCATATAAAAATTAAATCAACGAACAAGATGGAAATGATGGGATTCAATCTGACAACAATTTCAATTCATAGAATTGGAATGAAATCGTGGAATTAAGGTAGAAATAATGCCACGCAATCTAGAGCAGATTTCAATCAATGAAATTGGGATAAAATCGTTCGATTAGTCATTCATAGTAAGCTTAGTTCGGGTAATTATTGATGGCAAGCTTATAGAAATAATGGGACTCAATCGAATCACAATTTCAATTCATGAAACTGAAATGAAACCGTGGAATTAAGATAGAAATAATTCCACGAAATCGATGAAATTGGGATAAAATCGTTCAATTAGTTATTCATGGTATGCTTAGAAAGCAACTATCATCAATCAATTAAGAAATAGTATAGGACAAGATCAAACTTACGATTTCCTTTTCTCGCGATCCGTTAAGATTTCTACCACCAGGGAGAGCTAGAAATAAAATACAAAAATGGAAACATTTCAATATCAGGCAACGCTGTATTAGCTTGTCTAAACTAGAGTGATTCGATGACTCGATTAGAGTAAGAAAAAAGGGGCCCACTCATTGATATCATCCAAGTATCCATAAAGACCTTAGAACTATTTTCCGCTTGAACTGGATATAATTTTAAAGGAATAACTTACATCCTGAAATACTTGTGTGGCGTTTTCATCTTTATTCCTATCTGGATGATATTGAATGGATAATTTCCTATAGGCACGTTTAATCTCACTCACGCTTGCAGTCTACATACAAGAAGGATAAAATATCCAATGAATCGATTGAAATAAGCACAACATAAATTAGGCTCAAGTCTATACTAAACGGCCATTTTGACTTAAAATCATACAGTTATAATGTGTTGGTGGACATGGTTAAGAAAAGGACTAAGAGAAAAATAAAAACTGCTGTATAGTAATGAGATCGTTAAGCTCAAGATGAAGAATTTATAGTTCTACCAAGCGGATAGCAATAGCAAGACAGGAGCTATCGTATAATATTCATTCAGTCACGTTCCTAATTACCTTTTCAACGGATAACATGGTATAAAAATCTTTACTGAGTCTTTCTACTAAATCAAACAGTTCAATATCTTTACTTCTCCATCCTCTCCATCCTTTGCCACCGTCAACGATCGTCCATTGCAGGCAAAGAGCTAATATCATTAGATGACAACCCAATCTAATATTGGCCATATTGTCAGTAATCGTGGACAGTAAAATTGGTTGGCAAGGGAATCGAAAAAATGAAGGAAAAAGGAACCCTAAGTCCCTTAAATGAAAGAATTCACGATCCTATTCAAAAGACAACCCAAGAGGGGGAGGGAGAAAAATGCCTCTTCCTAGTCTAACCTAATGGTATTCTATTTTCGCATTGTCCATGCCGTTATCCGTAATAAATTAACCTATGGAAAAAGCAGTTTATAGACCAGTTGGAGCCTTGCAATGCAACTTAAGACAATAAAGTTATTTGAAGGCCAACCCATTCTATTAATTGACTCAAATATGGAATAATAACTTGATCCATAATTCATAAGCTCTCCCTTTTGTCCAATCTTTATTATCCAAGAAAAGCAATAGTAAACTTGCTTTAAATGCTTACCCACAACTCGACTAGTTAATTAAAACATCAACATCGACTGGACAGTGTAAATAGCCAATCGGCAAAGAACCAATGGAAAATGTTGCCGTTTCAACTGGAATTGGTTATTCCTGTTGTAGTTCAACACAAGTGATCGAAAGGAGTTCAATAATGGATAAAATCAAATAACAGCCATCGCTAACATGGAGCAAAAGTAATTATACAAACATCATCAAATATCATCCAAAAAATCGCATTCAAGCTATACGTATAGATAGGCAGAAGCTAAATTGCTTTCGATGTATTCACAGCTACTTTAGATAGACATAACCGTAGAAAATAGATTGTTGAATTACTTTCTAAAGATGTTATCAGTCAAAAGTTAATGGATAAAGTTATTAATGTTTTCCATAGATGAAAGAAATGCTTGTATAAACTACAGTAGTTTGCTTGTAAAGTAAGCATTAGGCTATTGGGTAACATGACTAACTCACTTTGTAGTGGCACCATAAACCAAGAGTAGATTGATTCTTTAACAAAATTGTTCACATCGATGGATCATTGATCGGTTGTACACTTATATTTAATAGCATAATTATAATATTGGATAGTAACTTAGGTTGAGAGTAGATTTATTCACTTACAATATAGTTTACTTAAATGGGTCTTTGATCGGCTATACACGTCTAATAAATGGCATAATTAAAATATTGGATAGTAACTTATGTTGAGAGTAGATTTATTCACTTATAATATAGTTTACATAAATGGATCTTTGATCGGCTATACCCGTCTATTAAATGGCATAATTAAAATATTGGATAATAATTTAATTTGTATAGGCGCTATAAACGAAGAGCAGATTCGTTTACTTACAAAATAGTTCAAATAGATAGATCATGGAACAGCGATACACACCTATATTAAATAGCATAATTAAGATATTGGATAATAATTTAATTTTTAGAGGTACTGTAAACTAAGAGAAGATTCACGCATTTACGAAATAATTCATATCCATCAATCCTTGATCGGCTGGCTCGACACGTATATTAAATAGCATAGTTGAGATATTGGATTATAACGTGGAAATAGAAGTGCTATAGACCAAGAACAAATTCATTCACTTACAAAATAGTTCATATCCATCAATCTTTGATCGGCTAGCTATATACGTATATTAGATAGCATGATTAATTAAGATATCGGATAATTTAGTTTCTAGAGGCGATATAAACCAAGAGCAAATTTATTCACTAACAGAATAGTCCACATCCATCCATCACTGATCAGTCAGTCATACATGTGCATTAATTAAGTAGATTAATTGAAAAACATGCTAATGATGAAGATAGTAGAGAATAACTAGTTTCTGGTCTTGAGTGCATTTAATTTTGTCGTATTAGAGAAATATTCATAAACTAAGAATATGCTGATTAGCTTAGAAACAGTTTAGATATATATGATGATTGATTTGTTGCCTAATCTAGCATGGGTTTCGTCAATAAATTAGATAAATGTCGTTTTATGACTAATTTAGTAAATTAAAAGCTTTTAATCAACTTGTCTAGAATGGCCCACCAAGACTTAACTTACAAGTATACATATAAGGTGCATGGATCATTGATATATTGCATAAATTGGTAAGACTATCATTTAAGAAATTAGATCAATAATTTAAAAGCTAATGCAGCTGATCATGCTATGCACATATGATTGAATATACATGCAGGTGTCTTTGGTTTCTTAGAAACATTTATACAGACGAAGTTCATATAATTAAATCGGTATAGGTAGCGTTAAAGCTATATGCTAGAGCTATTTCTGCTTGGCTGTAAAAACTATGTTGCGTCAAAACAATCACGATGAAATCATCATATAAAATATCCATTTCGAATCCAATGACTGTATACAACAGTATTATATAGCGGCAATAAAGCAGTCACTAGCTATTAATTTATCTCACCATGGGATGGATAATTTCAGAATTTCTTCAAATAAGTCCATTCAAATTTAAGAATGATGTTGCAGTTGAATCCTGTTATATATAGTACAATTCTTACCTGCATACTGGCCATCAATTTAAAAAGATACTTGTGCATGACTGGCATCAGTAAATACTACAAGTAGTTCGCTAGTACTGTAGCTGGGCTAATTCAACTTGATTTTCGACAATAACTAGGTAATACATTTAAAAGACAGTAGAGCTAGTAAGAAAATGTTGGATAATGGATACTTTATTTCTTAATTTTGGATAAACTTCGACCAAGTTCAAGAATTCTGTAGCTGAATAATATTAATAAGATACACACAACTACGCGTATTGGAAATATGGACATATAATTCTAGTTCAATTTCGAAAATTTTCAAATACTAGATAAGATCATGTGGATAAACATCTATCATTGCGTTTAAAACGCTTCCAAGCTAATAACTAAATTATTCTATTATATCAAATTAGTGCTTAAAGCATATGCAAAATTTGATCAGTTTAGGATCACACCCATGACACAGAAGGTCAAAGCAATAGCCGTTCTTCGTGGAATAGATAGCTGATACTGTAGTACAAATTGAGCGAAGCTATTTTTACTAGCCGCAACTCATGTATTAAACGAGTACAGTGACCAATTTAAGGACAATCTTGGCAATTAATTAAAGGTACCGGTACTAATTTCATGGCTAATTCCAAGGATACCAGTGTGTTCGAAATTTGTAACAGACTGTAATAACCTGATATAGGATTATACGTATACTTCAGATCTGACTACGTATAACAAAGACCATAAAATGGAATCATAATGACAGAGAAAAAGGATTTCCAAACTATTACAATAAATGACTGTAATATACAGTAAATGAACGTAACTATAACATATCTCTATATATGACATAAAATGATAATGATATATCAAGGATCAATAGCACTACCATCTCCTAAAAATCATCAGCAAGTTAACTTTATCATCATATCAAGATATGTATAGATTCGTATTGTAGGATGCTTAATCAAAACGCGAATAATAGCATAAAAATAAAAATTCTCTATATTATGAAACTAGGAAATCAATATTGGAAACCATAGCATATTATGATAAAGCAATCTCCGGCAATAATTAATCCAAAGTTTGTAATTGATATGTTGCACAACGCTATCCGTACTCAATGCTATCCATGAAGTACGTACATTGCTTTATTAAGAACATTATTTCCATCATTACTCAATACTCATTATAAATCTATATCACACATAATACTGCCGAGATAGTGTATAAGTTTTGATTTCAATCTTTAGAATAACTACGTCTACTCGCCCCAGGTTATTTAAACTGCATTGGTTAGTCAATTTTTCGATAAAATGAATTAAATAAGTCAGCTTTCTGGAGTTATTTTTAGTCGCTTCCTGTAAGTGTTTTTTCCATTGAGCTGGTCATTCACGACTTCATCATCATCATTATCATCCTCATCGTCGTCATCATCATGACGATGTTTTACACAATATTGTTTTTCTTTGCTGTTCACACTGTGTAGAGAGGTAGATTCAGCAATAGATTGACTATCATTGATGTTGGATTTTTCCACAGACCTAGCATTACCATCAGATTTCTTGCAAAATGTTGGTGGATCTTCTGCATATTTGACGATAAGTTTATTACCTATAGGATACTCGATACCGTTTAATTTTTCTCTTGCATAAGCAGCCATAGCTAGTGAGCAATAAGTTACGTATCCAAATCCTTTGGACCCTCCAGTTTGACGATTCAATTTAATTTTACATGATAACATGCCAGGTATAATATCAAATAAACGATGCAATTGTTCCTGAGTAACCTTGGTTGAAACAATCACAAATAGTCGTAGGCCATTTTTGGTACTGCCTCGATTTCCATTGGCTTTTACGCTATCCAGCATCAGGTTTTCAATCGTCTTTTGCGCTATAGCTGATGCTTCCACAGGCTTGCTTTCATTATCAAGGTAGGCATTTCGAAGTATAGATGGCAGGTAGTCTATAATGGAGAGATTGGCCAAATTGCTGGAGTTTGTTGTTTCACTATTAGCACCGTAAGATTGAGGTAATTTAGTGGATTTAGGCTCAGCTAATACTGCTCTAAAACTTGCGTCACAATTCTCGAGGGCAATAGCAGCTGCCGAAGCTTTATTAAATTTGACATAGCCTAATCCTTTACTTTTCTTCGTTGTATGATCTTTGACAATTTGGCAGTAGTCGATAGAGCCAAATTCAACGAATTTCTCTTTCAAATCTTCTTCCGTATAATCCCTAGGGCAGACGACAAATAATCGAGCTCGATCATATTCATCGATACAGTTACTTCTTCGCGTCGAATTCTTGGATTGTGCAATCATACACTACAAGGTGAACATAAGAATAGATGAGAAAATACTCTTAGGAGATATTTGAAGTGAAATTTTGATGCATTTTTCCTGATTAACAAATGATAATACGTGAAAGGTTGTAAGCTAGGTACAGTTAGTCATGTTAGAAATAGACTGGTCTATCGTACAGTAAATTATCTATTTGCTATCATTTGGTAAAACTCACAATCTGTACTTCATATTGCTGTAATTATAGAATAGGAGAAGATTACAATTAGGCATATAGGTGAACGAAGCGAAACCATTATGCATGGCTCATGCTATAGTAGGTTAAATGGTGAGCTAAAAACGTATGGAGATAGTTATATTACTACTGTAATTCATACAAGTCGAAATCGTCAATTCTACTCAGCTACTAACAGCATTCCTAGTCCTAGTAAATGGGAAAAGATCTCCGGTAAGCATGTACTTATTGGAAGTAAACGGAATTTGAACGCATTTTCATGACTAATGATAGGAGAAAAAGGATGAGCTTCAATGTGCTCATGTAGAGGTCGTTATTTATATTTATAATACGTCGCATAGTAAATTTTACTCGTCTATTAACTGTGTTTTCGTACAACTTTCAATCCATATTAATAACATTAATGGGAAAGAATCTCAGGTAAGCATGTCGGTAGAGTAAACGTAACTATTATACATTTTTATGGCTAGAGATAGGAGAAAAATTGGGAGTTTCAAAGGATGGAAGTAGTAGTGCAAAATAAAAGGTACATGTATGTACTACAGTAACTTCTACTCGTCCATATGCTGTATTTTGTACAACTCCCAATTCATGTTTAATATTAGTGTGAATGGAAAAGATCACAGGTAAACGTGTAGGTCAACAAAACGCAACTTTTAAGGAATCGCATGAGTAATGCACCAAGGAAAAAACTTTTGAAGCATTTTCATGACCAATGATGGGTGAAAATTGCAAACCGAATGGAGGCAGTCCTGTTAGCAAGACTAGTGAATGCCGTAGTGTAAATTCTAGTCGATAAACATTTATTGTACTTTGTACAACTCATAATTCATATTTAATATCAGTAGTCATGGGAAAAAGATATGGTTGTTCATAGTTGTTAATACGTAATACAGTCCGTCATTGAGACGGGATTCTACATCAGTAATTTATCGGTTGTAGTACCACTTTGGATCCAAATTGCCAATGTGATTCTATAGATCAATCCAATTTTCTACATGGAAATCGTGTGGTAGCCATGCCATCCAGTCTCTTTTTGACTATAGACTCAATCGGCTACAAGCTGGATTGGCAACAGCTTATGCAAAAACCAGTCGCCATAATATCAAGGGCTATTCCGAAAACACAGATAGTATTGACAAAACATCAAACTTAAAACCAATTCCATTCCATCATGTGGTATAGAGAAGTTCTACTCGAGCAGTTTACGTGCTGTAGTAGAGTCCCCAGATTTGAGAAAAATCGATTCCGGAGTCAATACTGTTTACTCTGGATATTTTTAGCCCTAGGGTACAGTGTGGACAATAATGTAACTTGTTTAATCATGGCTGTCGCTACTAAGCTAATACCTATCGAAGCTTAAAACACTCCTGCATATTACTGTGATTGACGGACCTTGGCGATCTACCTAGAAATTGGGAGAAAAATTCTCCAAGTAGTCATTTGTGTATTAAAAATGGATGCCAAAAGTAGACAGGAAGGCGATGCCATAGTACGCCATGTCAACAAAGACTGATCAAGTTGATTTGTATTGTAATTCATTTTTTTCCTCTCGCTTATGTACCCAGTGGTTTGAAGAAGAAAAGTCTTCAAGTCATCATACCCATAAGTCTATATATGTAAAAGTGGATGGCCAACTCGACTAGTAGTAAAGTGATGCCGCATGTTGATGAAGAAGAATCAAGTTGGTTTGTGCTTTAAACGATTGCACTGGCATATTGCTTTTACGCTATTACTACACAGTATGTTGGGGGAATAATCCTCTATATATTGAATGAATTGGAAGATATAGTTTGTACGACTGTATAAAGGAAGGTATTTGTTGTCTTGCAATTTTTCACGCTGTACAAATATTCGTCAACACTATTAGAAGTATTTTATACTAGGATTTGAATATTCCTTTTCCCTTTGTAGTTGGTAATGTTATGGATGTGGATAATTGAATTATTAAAAGATGATCCACTTTGATTTGAGCACAAGATGCGCTTGCTTGTCTACTGGATTGTATAGCGTCGCGTGAGGAATAGTTGTCGATTAGATGACAATGAATTAATTAAATCAATCAATACAATTAGCAACATGAACTTTGTCTGATGGTATTAATTCTAATTCTAATTATCCTCATTCAATATCTCCTACACTACAGCCTATTGTAGTAGAATAGGAATAATTTTCATGCCATGAAATATTTGGTACGCTAGTAGGATAATCGAGTACAGTAGAACCATTTGAAAAGAATGAATCAAAGCAAAAGCAGAAATCACTTGCCAGCAGTGTCTTCTTACTGTATTATTCTTGATCATCATCATCATCATAACCATTATTGATAGGTGATAAAAACATCACATCAAGAAGAAAAACAATAACATGGAGGACAAATACAACTCGATTTGTTCTCGCTATTTCTGTAACTAGCTTGCAATAGAGTCATCGTACAGTAGAATCGTTGCAAAAAGAATGATTGTAGACATTGAAAGTCTGATCGACGTACAAGTAAGTCGCTTAAGTTACAGCTTTGCTGGCGCCCATGTCCCACTCTTGGCTTGGATTTATCAATACTGTCCTTGCAATGGCGAATGATTGTTTGATTTTAAATAAAAACAAAAACAGTCACTGAATAAAATAATCTAACCCATTGAGTCAATAGAATGAAATTAATTAAAATGATCACGATCGCCTTTGCCATTGGAAATATTGATCAATAGGGGCAAGCAAAAGTAGATAGATGTATTTTCTTTTTCATCAACAAGGAAAACTGACTACTTGAACTGTAATACATGTCTACAGTCAGTTTGGCAGTCTACGTATAAAGTAAGAGGATAAAAATATACCATCAGCTTTGGGTATTCTAACCGGCCATGTTGGGCATGGAGGAAGAAAGAAGAATGCCATGTTGGTTAATAGAATGACTATTGTCTAGCATACAATAATCGAATTTCCCTTCAAATCATGTTGACATCAATAAAAATCAATACCTTCCAAGATGATTTATTAATCCATGGGAAAAAAAATTGCCTCTGCAACTGGTTTAAGCGTTCCCCTTAACCATTGACAGTACTCGATGGCAAAATGGATCGTTTGCAAGTTGTTAACATTATTGTCGTCGACCAAGAAGCAAGATACAATGAGGACATCGCCCAAGCCATCAATTAACATATGGAAACATGTTTACTATCATCAAATATTACCCAAGCTATCGGCCTAACAGGCCACCTTTTATTAGACGGTGCAAAATTTGCCTAGCGATAATACAACATGGATAAAATCAACACTTTTGAAAAGCGAGACTATTCTTTGGCTATTAATAATGAATGCATTGCGGTTGATAATGAGTTGACTTTACAGTAGTGTTGTAAAACAGCGAGATCAAAAATTGATTCAAAGTCTTTTTATTTCAGTCAGTGAGCAATTGCTGCCTCTGTTCGAGTGTTGTCTGCAGACTTTGGATGCCATGCGAGTACTCGACGATCATGATCGGGTATCGATAGCAAATCGATGGCATTGAAGAGTCGCATCCAGTTGTAAAAGATAGACAAATGGATGTGTTTTTGGGGGAGTGGATCAGCGGCATTTCGTGCGCTCCTGTCCATAGTCATTGCCACCGATGGTTTTCATCGGTGTTGCATGACTTGTAGGCATAATCTAGTGATAGACATGTTCCATGGAGGAAAGTATAGTATCAAAAAAGCATCTGTCGACCAATGGAAATAAACAAATCATTGAAATCCGATGGAACAAAAGCAAACAAATAAAAGTATAGGGACATCACCAATACGATCAACTCGCTCTCAAGGGGCCATAATCCAGCAATCAACTCAACTCCATGTAGAATTTCAACTCAGATAGTCATTGGATTAGTTGGATTTACTCTCGCATGATGAAACGATGAGGAAAAGTGCCATGATCAACATGACAGCAGTAGCCATGATGACGACAAAGCGCACGTCAAGACCCCAATGTTATTCTACCTCGGTAGTAAGGGTCCATTGGATATCTTGGATTTGAAGAGAGAGATTACGAACAAGGCGATTGGACAGTGTCTAACATTAAGCTTGTTGTCGTCGTTCAACATGGGCTATTCCATCGACTCGTAGACTGCAATACAGCAAGATGATGGCAATCCGTCTTCAATCCCTTCCACCGGATGAAAATGATAGCATGGACTTGGCGCATCCAGCAATCCATCATTGTTCATCGTATGGCAATCAATGAACAATTCATTTTGCAAGTATTTGGCTACCTTACCTTAAGTGATTTCTGATGATCGCCTAAAATTTGACCATCCATTGCTTCGATCGCTTGAGCAGCCGATGATGCCTTGCTAAATTTAAGATACGCCATTCCTTTACTTTGGTTGTTATTGGCATGATCACGAACCACCCAGACATCTTGTATACACCCAAATGGCGAGAAAGCATTTCTCAGGTCGTCTTCAATTAATGATTTATCACACAAGATAAACAAACGAGAATAAGGTGGATAATCGCAATCGATCCGATTGCTCGATGATGATAAACTATGCTGATCATAGGACATGTTGGCTAATTAATTAATTAATTTATTAATTCATTCATTTATAGCAGACACACCACTAGCAAATGCGAGCAGGCTGCTTTGATGCCTTGCAAATGCTGAACTTGTCCGCGCCGGCGCTCGTCGATATTTTGGTGGACCAGTTCGGTCCGGTTGGGTCGCAGTTCGATACCATAACGGTCCAATACCCAAGGATGGCATGCCTGAACTTTTGCCCTTTTCTCCCTGTTCTACCATACTCCACTATGGAGAATAACGACTTGATTCAGTAGTGATACTACTCCCTTTCCAACAAGGCAATGGATCCTTGGCATCTGGTAGGCATGCTCAAAACGAAACGTGACTTGCTTTGTTTTATGTAATAAAGAATTGAATGAAAGTAGGAGTGCAGGTTCGTTGGTGTAGTGGTTATCACGTCTGCTTTACACGCAGAAGGTCCCGGGTTCGAACCCCGGACGAACCTACGCTAATTACTTTTTTTTTCCCCAATGCAAGACTGCCCTATTCCACACAACTAAAATGGACGCATCCTGTACTACAATAACACGACTCTAATAAGAAAGGGGTGCTGGAAATAGTTGGCGAGACTTGTCGATTATTTTATTGATTGATTGTAGCAATGGACAAGAATAAATTGAATAATAATAATACAGTACAGAGCAGACTTGAAGTCATGATTTGAGTCTACGGTATCCACTTTCCTCTCACAACAGTTCACGAGAGGATAGACTACAGCGAGGATTGTACTCAATCTATCCACGATTGTACTATAGAGTAGAGAGAGTACAAGAGAGGAGACTAGCATCCATCGCAAATAAATAATTTATTTCAATGGCTACAGTAGAGAAAGTTATTTTGCCCAATAGAATCAAAACATTCTTCCTGAATGCATTTCAAGAGTGCAAATAGGAGTACACCAGTAGTCATAGTACGCAGACAGGAGTAAGAAAGTCATACGTTGCATCCTGTATTCAATCCAATACCGGCATCGCCACCATAATCATATCATAGTAATACTGTAGCTGTAGAGCTGTTCATCGTGCTCAATTCATGTCACCGTAATATGTCTGAAAGACTGACAATAGACTAAAGGCGATGAACAAATGAACGACATCCTACTGCACATGGTATACCCTACTTAATACGTTCCAGCATCAACAGGAAAGAGTCAGTTGAACTACATAGTCAAGACTTGTCTGTTCTCCTCTCGATCACCATTGCGTAATAGTTCCTCAGATAGTAGTACTATAGCAGGAGATAGGCCGTATTCGATACTAACCCAAAGCGAAATTTCCTAGCTTAATCGAAAGAAAATCATCTGATGAAACATTAACCTACTCAACACTAAGAATATTTTATCCCCATACACATTAATAACTTATCTATATACAACATCGTCTATAGCCATGGCTGAGGCTTGTAAAGTCTGTTCGTTAACCGAAAGCTATCCAGAAAATCGACTTATTCAATGTCATGGCAATCAATGTGATGTCATCGTTCACCAAGGTTAGCATTTTGCTTGGCTTGATGCTTTTTAATCATAATTCGTATGCAGTCCTTTCATCAACGTTCCACTAGCCAACAGACTTATTCTCCAACAGCAAGTCCCCATTCGCCTTGAAAATCAGAATACACACACATTACGATCACTATCCAGTAGGCTTATTCTCTCTCACAAGTCTCCATTAGCCTTCAAATCAATACATGACGATCATCAACCAGTAGGTAGACCTATTCGCCTTGAAAATCAACACACATACATTACGATCACTATCCAGTAAACTTATTCTTTCCCACAAGTCTTCATTAGCCTTGAAATCAACACATGACGATCACCAGCCAGTAGCTAGACCATGCCACTTGGTTAAAGCTAATCGTGCCTACCATATTATGGGATTGCTTGCTTTCATTGAATCAACACGTTACGATCATCAACCAGTAGGTAAACCTATTCGCCTTGAAAATCAACACACACACATTACGATCACTATCCAGTAGGCTTATTCTCTCCCACAAGTCTCCATTAGCCTTCAAATCAACACATGACGATCATCAACCAGTAGGTAGACCTATTCGCCTTGAAAATCAACACACACACATTACGATCACTATCCAGTAGACTTATTCTCTCCCACAAGTCTCCATTAGCCTTCAAATCAATACATGACGATCACCAACCAGTAACTAGACCATGTCACTTGGTTAAAGCTAATCGTGCCTACCATATTATGAGATTGCTTGCTTTCATTGAAACACTTGTGCCTGCATGGATAAGCAACAGCATTGTAAAATAAAGTGTCATAGCTACATTTCTTACATGGATAAAACTAGTTGTTAAGCAATTCTACATATGCACACTGTGTGCACACATTGGCTGATCATGATATGATCGTTATCGTCATGGACAACATGGCATTTTAATTAGTATCATGCTGATGATCATCACGCATTGGCAACACGGCTATTTAATTTCTACAATGTTCATTACAGGATTACCATCATCACTACATAAGCAATCTAGGTCATTAAGAGGATGCAAGCTAACAGCAGCTATATATAGTACTGTATAGCTGGTATTATCTTTCATCAATCACATGCATATATCAGATCAGCAATGCTAGGCTTGCTAGCCATGCCATAGCATCGACTGTATATGGATAGTCTGTAGGTGTCGAGAATCGACCTACCTGCGTTATGGAAACAGTCTCGATGCATGTTCTATTCCGTTAAAATGATAACAAGGAGCTACTAGAGACGACATGATGCAAGATTGAGCTGATGCCTATCCATACACACCACAAACAGTGCTTTTATACTTTACTGTTGCAAGATTTACCTTCAAGCCCTAATAGATAATATAAACATCATCCTAGATGACTCCAATCCCTTGGTAGTTACCGGAAAACAGTAGTAAAGATCCCAATCGATAGTACGTACAGTCAATAAAGTATGGCAGCAGCATGGAGGATTACCAAAATCACCTGGTAAGAATTAGAAGAGAATCCATTCAAGTCTTCCTATACAGAACTGTCAATCCTGAACTACTCTCCATTTGTATAAAATGCATAGACACAAGCCTATCGTACAGGTAGATTTCAACTACGAATGTCATTGCTATATCGACGGAGACAAGGATTAAGAAAATCATGTGCTAAAATACAGTACCATGTCCATCTTGAGCAATTCCTCCATTCTCCTATCCTAGTAGAATGCTTTCATCTTAGCTGAAATGAGTAACTTTAGTTCTATCCCCAGTAGAAATAGTCTATCCTAGGAGTAGAATGAGTCCTTTTCTAGTCTAGGTGGCATCCATTTTCTCAAACCTCTCGCAAAGAGTGCCTATGATCTTTACTCACAACTTGCATCTATTTGCTGTTGTAACTGTGAATAAACGAATGGTGTTGATCTCATCGACTGTGCTTTACTGTCATGCAAGCGTTATGATGGATAGGCTACAAGTAGAAAAACTGCTTAGGCACTCGATCAGTATCTTGATGCATAGAAAGCAATAATGCAATGAATAAGAGCAATAAAATTTCTACATCGTTCTAATTCTAATTATCCATATTGACTGCACTAAATCATTTTAAAGAAATTACCAACCTAATTGAATTTTTTAAATGAATCTTTGATATACTGCAGGGTGCTACGGAGTGGCGCAAGCACCTACAAACGATTGGTACTGCGATCGATGCAAAGCAAAGGAAACGAATCCTATAATAGTAAATAAGGAACCTATTTCAAGTTCAATTATGCTATTATTATCTACATAAATCAGTATTTTTGTAGTTTTCTTCTTTCCACTCTACTGAACATAAATACAACAGTTATCGTAGTAAAATGAGCATCAATGTTCTAAAGATACGCCCTTACATTGCATTTTCTCGCAGAAATGTCAACTGTGTCCTTCAGAAGATGGCGCCTTTAAAATTTGTAGCAATGGAGGTAGGTACCTATTGGACTAGCCATGATGCCTATTGGGAACATGAATTACTTCTTTGTAGTATCTAAGAAATGGATGATTTCAACATGTCTATGTTAAGCCGCGAGTTGTCCATGTAGCAGCAGCGGCCATTAACGTACTGCACTTTAAGGATCCTCCAAATTGAAGAGATTTTGTAAATAAGCAGAGCAAATAAAAGATAACTATGTAGTATACACAGAGAGCTCAGCCATGACCAGATTATTAAGCAGTAAAAGAACAAACATTCAAAGTTTACTAGTGCTAGAACAGCAAAGGAATTTGTGTACTGCATTGCAGGGATTGCGAATGCTTTCCATCGATCCTTGCAAACAACGTGCAAATTATACGTGCATCATTTTACATTTTAATTATACACTAAATTGATACTGTACAGCCACCATGAGCCATGCAAATAATGTAAAAGCATTAACATGGGTAATTTTGATGGCCAATCTGCTACAAGACTACAGTATCGTCATTCTTATTCCATTGCTGTAGCTTGGGCGCATGTAATATGCGCTCTGTATATTCCGGAAGTAACATTTGGCAATAACCAAACTATGGAACCAATTGAAATCTCCACAATTCAGGGTGATCGATATCGCAAGGTAAATTGATCGCTGTTTCACCTTTCCTCGCTATAACTGCGTCTTATCGCCTCGTCGATTTTTCTTTTTACTGTCAATGGATAGCATCCAGACTGCAAAAAGTTTACTAATCATGCAGTGCTTGATCGGCTTCTTTTCCATCAACTTTGCTTTCATTTAATTTTGTTTGTGGTCAATTTGTTGGGTAGTAAAGCGGATCCAATGCAGCCAATCAGTTGAGCTAGTTTCTGCTTGCCATCCAGCATTTGTATTTCCAGATCTGAAAGATCGAATTTTACATGACTACATCTCTTGTTGGACACTAATCTATCTTGTCTTTTCTACAGATTTGCTATCTTTGCCAATTAAAGGGACAACTGAGTGGTGCGTTAATGGGCGCCTGTATTAAATGCAGCCAACCAACTTGTTCATCTTATTTTCACGTAACTTGGTGAGTTAATGCGTCAGTAGAGCACGTGTACCAGTAGTGCTGCCAGAAAAGCGAATATTCTCGTAGCTCAACATGATTAGTTATTAATTGACTGTCAACAAAATAACCATGGCAAGACGGTATATCATAGTTACAGAAATAATGATTGAATCTTTCTACCACCTTCTTGAGCCTTTCTGTTAGTCTGGAAAAGCAACCACACCAACTTTAAACTGTATATTGCTAGAGTAAAGTGCGGGCTCGGCGCAGATTTCTTCAAACGATGCGCGGTGCACTGTCTTGTAGTTTTGCGTGTTGCTAAACCTTTTAATATGAGCATATGCCTATAGACTAGACTAGAATGTCGAATTGACACTTATTGATGAATCCAATCGAATTACAAGATCTAATCAGTCTCTATCTGTGCACGCTTTCATCAATATAGCGCTCAAAGTGAGGATTTATTATGGGAATTAAGCAGCAAAGACCTTAGCAAGTATTGTGGTTTTTGTCACAAACATCATCCGAACCAGGTAACATTATCCTCTCCAACTCTGCAAAATACTAGAGTACAGCAATAGTGAGACTCTGTTGTGGCTTAAGAGCAATGAAATTAATCCTTGTACACTGCTGTCAATAATACTTGTAGTTAAAGATGAAAAAAGACACCAAGAAAAGAAAACGGAAACCTAGCCAATCTTCCAAAACGGAAAATCTCGGTACTAGCCATTAAATGTGTGATCAAAAATTGAATCTCAATTTCTGTCTACTAAAACTTAGTTTTGCATTGGAATGCAGACAGCGCGGACAAAAAGAGCGCAACAAATTCTTCGTCTACTGCTAAAGATACGGTAAGCTAACTGACCATAAAGAATAAAGTGGAGTTCTGTAGGTCCTAACTACTGAAATTGACAGTGTATGCAATATCTTGCTCGATTTAAAATACAAAACTAGTCGATCGCAACAACCATCGTTGCCATCAAAAGAGATCAAGATGAGTGTAGAATAGCGATAGATTGCTTGACTTTACACTTGTTTCATAAAATCTCTTCCATCTGGATTTTATAGGATCTCAATTCAAAATGCAAAGATACACAAGGCAAGATTATTTCACTTTTCAAGACATCGAAGGTTGTGTACGCATACATCGGTCGTAGGATGATTAAAATGATTCGTTTATTCCACTGCAATGTTTAGGTCCACCATTGAAGAAAAAAAAAAAAAATAAACACCGCAATGAGAACGGTAAACTATCGCATTACGATGTGAACAAGATCAAATATGGTGATACTAGTGCTTATTGTACTCATAAAGTATTTTAAATTGCAGAAAAGTTAGCAAAATACAACGATAAAAATGATCCAAAAAAGAAGAAAGAAAAGGTATCCAATAAAAGTTATAAATCAAAGAAAGGCTCTCTTAATGAAGAAACTCAATCTGTCCAGAAGAACTTTACCAACGAGAATGCAGACACACGAATCAAGAAACATCATCGAAATCAACAACAGCTTACAGCCCAAAACGATCTAGATTTAATTGCCTCCAGTCTTGTTAATGCTGCGCTGGTAATGCCAACTACGTCAGCTACTAGTCTTGATGGCAATCTATCCCAATCGAGCGGTAGCAATTTTTACCCTACTCAGAATAACATATCGAGGTAAATAGGCAAACTTGAAAAGTGTTTAAAACTTGCATGTCAGATGAATGAACCAATAAATACATTAAGTGAACATACTCCATTTTAACGGAATATTGTTGCTGCTCTTAGTTTGCAGGACATTTTAATTGCTAGCTTGAAAAATAGCTTAGCATTCATTGACCAAACAGCACAAAATCACGACAGTAAGATCAAATGAATTTATGTAATTTCTTCTTGAACGCCTAAGCATGACATTCAATTGAATCTCAACATTTCACTGATTTCTTGTACACGCTCAGTTTCCAGTTATATACGCGATATAGCCAAGCTTAGAGTTAAAACACGACAATTAACAGAGCAAAAGCATCAATTAGAGTTACGTCGGGCTGAATTATTACTGCAAAATCGTGACCTGGAATCAGCCTTACAAGAGATCAGAAAGTCTAGACTCTGCGAGCAAAGTGTTCATATGCAAAATTCCAATAATGATGAAACATCTCATAGAGGTATTTCCAATTTTTGTTAACAATTCTCCAATTTGGTCTCTTAAAAAGAAGAATTCTATTCCTGACGTAGCAGTCATGATATATTGCTCTTTGTCACATGTAGCCGTATATAATAAAAATAATCGTCTGTTGCTTACTCGTAGGTGATGAAAATGTTATTCCGGAAATAAGTAATGATTTACGCAACAATGATAGTTCAATCAATACTATTGCGAAAACGAGTGATGATTTCTATAATAATGATACTTCAAGTATGCCTTCCTTAATAAACCCAAATAATGATCTCAGGTTAGTAAGAAATAATTTGCAAGACAGTTTCGATGAATTGCGCGTCTTAGACAACGCATTTCTTTTGCACTAGAAATAATTGATCGTCTAACTTGATATACAGATTAAATAACCAACATCCATCTATAAATTACAATTTGAGCAAGCCTGACGTTGATTCGAATGTTATGGAGGTCTGAGTTTTGAGCATTAATGCAAATCGTGACCATTAAAGTCATCAGTATTTCTGTTAATCCTTTTTATTTATAATTTAGCTTTCTAATAATCCTATCAACATGGAACACGGTAACTTACACTAACGAAAGGATGTATCGACTACTTTAAATTAACCTGCTGGTATAATGGAATTGGCGGTGATACTAATTGCTCATATTTGTATTTTTAAACGATTAGTGGATACGCAAGATAACGCTGAAGCATTAGTAGATTCTTCCGAATGCTGCTCTAAGCAAGCTTCTGTTAATTCAACAGAAGATACGACTGAATCAATACAACGTAGTAATCCCGACGATCACCCGACTGAAAAAAACCTAAATTTGCAAGGAACATTAGGAACTAATGTGTGCCATAGTCATGAATTATTCACACACCAGCTGCAAGCTGCAAATTCGGAGTCTCCTAATAAATTAACTAACAATAATTCGCAAATTCTCAACGGAAGCCCAACGTACAACCAAAATGGTCAGCAATTACTTCCTAATTTCAATTCCTCTAACAATCATCAGCAGCAAATTCATCAAATTGCTCAACAAACCAACCAAACGGTAAGTACCCTATTTCGAATGTATTAAAATTTAAATCTCTAGTAGCCTTATCGCAATTGTAACTGTCCAGTCTATCGCGTGTTACTACAGTAATCGCAGAACCACCAAAGTCCACTTTTCGGTGCCAGGCTATTTATGCATATACGTACTATTTACCGTTTGTGCACCTGGATTTTTGTCATCATCGTACATGCACTACAGTTCTCTAACGATCTTTAAACGAAATTTATATATAGTTGGCTGCTCCATCATTTACAAATATCCTTTATCCTAACCATAATTTTGGTGTCAGTCCCAATATATTTTCATTACATAATTCTCCATCATATACATATCCCACCGCAAATCAGCATTATCATCACCATCATCATCATGACGATCGTCTACTACATCAATTTGAGCATACTTCTAATGTAAAGCCTGTAAGCTTTAGTCAATAACTTCAAATGTGTTACCATTTTTGTGATTTTACAGGAATAACGAGGTATGACTGTTTATTCTCTTAGTAGGAGTGTGAAGAACATAAGTAAACGTGATCGTCGTAGGTACCATACCTAATGTCTCAATATCTCATGGTTCACGATGTCCTTGGGCTTCAAATGTTAAAAAGCGTTATGCAATAAAACATGTTATTGTATTATTGAAAATTTGATGTTTGATTTCACAAAGTGTTTTAATCCTAATTCAAGCAATTAATAGAACGTTGGTATATTCCTGTATATTGGTTAGTAATTTCCCGTAGCTCTTAAACTGTAACGTTAATTTGGAAAGGACACTCTGTTAGAACTACTACAGAAACACTTGCTATTGAACTTAGCTAAATTATCATGGTAAAGATAAGTACTTAGTCTTATCTTCAACTCGATAACCTATTTTATTTCATTTTCAAATTTATTGATTTGACCTGTGTATCTAGTAGATACTTGTTAATCATAGGTCGTCACAGAGTACATGTCATGCATACATTCAAATGTATTTCAGCTGTAAAAATGGCGTTATTTGATCCACTGTATTGACGATGTAAATACGTTATACTTATGCATGCGGCACATGTGTAACATGCCAGATGTAATGATATTGTATACATATGTATAAACATTGATGAATGATATCTAATGATTCCATCGGGAGCTATATGAAATAACATTTAGACTACACTGTTTACAATTAGTTCTATGCATTATCGTATTACTAAAAATATTTACCAGATTAGTGATCTAAAGGACTAACTACTTTGTACAGATGTAATCAGCAATCAGAATGAACCGTGATATCAACCGGAAGAATATATAACTTAATGTAGTACATCGCTGTAACTGTACCAAGATTCTCGTTTCATTTTTGCTGCTTCCTGTAATGTTGAATTGGCCTGCAGCATTTATAAAGTACCCTTTCGAATCAGATCTAATTTTCGGATGTTCTGTGTGGTTATATCGATTTACTAAAAGCAAGTAAATAATTAGATGATCTTCGCACGTAAAAAATTTTACATGGAAAATATCGAAATTGCATTCCTAGTGCAACAGATGCCAAAGACGATCACGCTCGTACTGTGTGGTGCATTGTTGCCTCCTAAATTTTTAAATCGTGATACACATATATGCAGTCTATATACATAGACGAGTATAAGCATACAAGGCCTGTTATTGAGTAATATCAAAAATACAGTACAATATATAACATCTCACAGTTTTGAATTAAGAAGAGTCATCTGATACAGGTAGGATAGATATATTACTGTACAGTATTACTGTACAGTAGACTGTATTAAAAATTTAGTTTAATCTTAAAAATTAGCAATTTCCCAACAGCTTTGCGGTCTAGTGTACATTGGGGTAGTCTCCAGATGTAAAATTCTTAAGGAATTCTATGTATTAAATGTGGCCTATTGCCTTTTTAAAATACTGATCGAAAGACACTTTTTGTCACTTTTAAAAAAGGCGTCGTGTCAGTATTTGAAACGGCGACAGTCAACTTTTAGTAAATAAAATTTTTAAAGAAATGATATTAAGAGACTGCCACTTATCTATACTAAATGATGAAGTTGTTGGGAGTTTAATTAATTTAAAGCTTAGATTTTTTAATACAGTCTAATATACAGTATTCTATTGTTTCCAAATAGTATATCTTCTATTGCTATACAGTTATAATCGAGACTACTAATAAAGGCCTAAATTGCTTTATAGATTGCCATAAAATGTCATAACGTATCTGTGATCATGTAAGATATTTAATGGCTTTTCTTACTCTCTTTTGCATAATAAAATGTCTATTTGCGGAATGAATATGCAGATTTAACTTTCACTAGAGTATGGTACCAACGCAAATCTGTGCTCAAATTGTTTAACTCCTATGCAATAAAGTCAGTCAATCAACGCATGGGCAACATATGGCACAGTCTGTAAAAGTGTACCTTGTGTAGAATATTATGGGGCTATATTACATTTATTTTAACCTCATCAGATATAATCGAGTACTATGCATCATGCAAAGCGATATAAACAAGTGTTTCCTTTAGAATTCTGTAGCTAGGAAGTATACTCACATTTGTTTTCTACTAGTAGCACCTAAGATACGCTCTCAAATAAATACAGGTTCTACAATTTCAATCTATTTTACTTGGCTAATGGCCTCCTTGGTACATAAATAGACATGATGTCACCGATTTTGCGTATATAATGACCCGTATATTTGCTTTTTCCCTCATAATTGAAGAGTTCAAATGGTATTGTCGGTAAATTCAATTTAAAAATATTCCCAAATAAATATAATCTATCAACAGCCGATTACGTCAGATTTGAATGTAGTAAACACAGCTTACACTAATTAAGCAGCATAGTATAGCTATTGGTGTATCGGCTTATCAAATAAAGAGTACAATAAATCTTGTCATCGATAGCCTGATAAACATCGCCATAAAAATATAAAAGTACTCTTAGAGGTATCGAATATCAAATAACGCCTAGCCTAATCAGTTCGTGGCAGCTATTGATACAAAAACATCACGGAACGTATAAAAAGTTGAATACTCTAACAAGCCATCGTTGAAACCATGTTGGAAAGGTTACAGCTTAGGCAATCTGGGACATCAACCAACTTAACAGAGCGGTTATGGCCTTTCCTGGTAGTTGCATCTCAAACATTCGGGCTACTAGCGTTTATTCTATTAACGATATGGGTAACCAAATTCCTTGGTGGGATGTTATGGGATGGAGGTGCAAAAGAATTTAACGTTCATCCATATTGTATGGTTATTAGTATGATTCTCTTGAACGGCGAAGGTAAGTTAGGAAACACACATCGCAATATTAAGTAACTTTATAACCAGTTTTTGTACTCACATCGCTTTTTCAACCTTAATAAAATTTATATTAGTATCATCGTCGTATAGTAGCTGCACTTTTGTAATTAATATCGTAATAACTTAAGCTTGTACTACAACAATAACAAGCTATAGAAGTTATTAGATGCATGGAACTTTTGTTGTATATTTAATAACAGGAATATTAAATTTTTAGTTAGATAACGTTATAAAAAATAATCTTAAATTGACAACAATTTGTACTAGTCATACTTGTAGATTTTTCTTATTTCAAATTACAGTACATCCTTATATGTTTTGATCTCTTTAATAACGATATCAAATGTTTTTTTTTTTTCGACTAAAATAACTTTACTATTCTAGATAGATTATAGTGAGCCGATATAATAATCGAATTTTCTAATAAAGTCTCATCTAAAAATCAGCTACTATTAATATTACTGCATTTCCTTACAGTATAAAGATTTGATACCATAGAAAATGACCAATATTGTAGAGTTTAAGTTATATGTGTAGCTTAAAATTGTAATCAGTTCGTTTAAGGTGATAGAAAGTAGAAGACTATATATGATGCTAATTTATAAATTTACAGCACATTAGTCATCTATTATTCTGTAGTGTGGACAAGGTGTCACATAGTGTCTTGATTCACATCAAATTAAATAAGACGAGGATTCACTATGCATATTGAATAATATTTCTATAATGTCACGAAATTATAATAGCAAGCTGTTGGATTACTGTATAATCTAAAGGTTATAGAAGAAAGACTTGTTCATAGTAACCTGGTGGCTGTAATCTATATTCTAAATAGTTTCTGAGACAGAATTTGTCATGACAGTGCAACCCCACTTTAAATGTCAAATAATTCCAAAAATCGGAGGCATATGTCCCCGTTAGACGTAATTAAACGTAATTAACAATAACGCGGCTTACACGAGATTGCTCTCAATACATACTAAGCAGTAATGTTTATTGAAATCATTTATTCATTAAAATTTGCCATTAAAGAAGGCTAGTTGAATTCCATTAGGATAGAATTTTATCTTTAGTAAATGCACTATTGCTTACATCTAAAAGTATCTTATTTCAAGGAGTGTTAATTAAATAGCATTCTTGTAGAATCTTACCTTTAGACTCGTGTCATTTTATTTAGGTTATCTAAAAGTCTCTTGTATTAAGGAAACTTAATTGAGTTACATTTCCGTAGTACTTTATCTCTAACTAATGTGCTTTTTTATCTAAAATACTGTATATTCGTATATGTATGTAAAAAGATTTTGGGTTAAGGAAAGTCAGTGGTACTCTTAATTTATCAGTTTCGTGTCTAAATAGTCTATCGATTGTGAGCAATTGGCCATCTGAAATGAAGTTCTGCAGTAGTACTCTTAGCATATACTCGTTGCTAACCTTGATAAACAGGAACATTAGGAAATAATAAAATAGCCATTAACCAGTTTAACTAATTAAACTCAGCCAAAATATCAAATACTATACTTGCGTCGGTAAGGCTAACCTTAATATCATTGTTGTATGCAGCCATAAGCTTTTTCCGAATTTTCCGCCACAGCTCCAAAAATACAGTAAAATTAGCCCATGCATCAATTCAACTTGTCGCTTTCACGCTTGCCACTGTTGGATTATCTGCTGTTTTTCAATTTCACGACAATAAGGGCTACCCTAACGCTTACAGTATGCATAGTTGGTGCGGTTTATTAACAGTGTCCTTGTTTGGTCTTCAGGTATGTCAAATGATTGTTTTTTACTGCTACTGGAAGGCGATATTGACCTCATATAAAGATCTTTCGCATTGACTAACAAGTGGATAGTTTAACAAGGATCAATCTAATATCATTATTACCTTCTTTCTTGCGTCCTCTCATTTTATAGTACGTTTTTGGACTAGTATTTTTTGTCTTGCGTTTCTTTCATGAGAACCTTAGACAAGATTACCTCAAGTTGCACCAGTTTTTTGGTAAAATAATATTTGCAATGGCGATTGCAACCTCACTTATCGGAATTGATGAAGAATTAACATTTGCGTAAGTCTGCAGTAATTACAGTTGTAAGATCTTAAAAGTAAAGCTACGTAATTTATCAGCTCTAAGTTATCATATTGATCATTTTTAATAGGTATGTAGTAAAAGTTGAAAACAAATACATTAGCAAATCCTTAATGATATAGATAGTTCGAGTTGCTTATTTTAACTTGTAGAAAAATAGGGATAATAGTAAATTCAATTATCTGTTTCTGAATATAAATTTACTTATTACATATGATGAAATTAACAGAGGGAAATATGGTCAATTACCACCTGTGGCTAGTCTTGGCAATGTTCTTGGCTTGGTACTCATTATTTTCGGCATTATTGTAGCCTATATTATAACTCATACCGAATTTGAACGACCACCAAGTGACGATGAGTTTAAAGCCATATCTGAAACGGAAAATGATTAGACAACCAATGTAGGTTGCAACATGACTGCAATCATTATGCTTATAGTTTTAAAAGCTACCAGAACTCTGTTACTGATAGATAATTCAATGTCGTTTTATGATATTAGTTTTAAAGATGAGATTTTATGATGAGAGCATTATCGGTCATATTTACATCTTAATCACGGGAGATAAACCCATCAGGGAATCGGATATTACTTCTCACTTGAACAGGACTTAAAACTTGTTAATAAAGATGTCATAATAAGTATGATTTTGATTTATTTTTACTTGTACACGTCTTGTTTCCTACGTTGTTAGTGTGCATGAAAAGTATCAGTTCGATCTGTAATTCTAGTTAGGATACTTGGTTACAATCTTTTGAATGCTTCTATATCTGTCATTTATTTATTTAAATAACTTTACTTGGTCAGCGTTCTTAACTGCTACCATTAAATATAAGCGCAAGATCGTATGGATGATTTTTTGTTTCATGTTTCTCCACAGGATGATATCGTTAAGGATACGGTAATAAAATAAAGAAGTTTGTTTAATTTGAATATCAACTCTTGATCAGTGATCAGTGAAATAGGTTTAAACGATGGTTAAACTTAGAGTTACGCAGCCACTACCAATCGATTAATCTAAGAGATATCCGAAATCATATTTTACAATTTTTTTATGGTTGAAATAGTTAAACTGATCTATCTTTCAATAATTTACTGGTCGTTTAGTGGAAGAAGTTGACTTTGGCTATGGCTTAATTTATTATTCGCTGTTGAATTTAGTTAGAAGCTCGCAATGATCTGTCTTTCAATAATACAGTTGTCGCTTAGTAGAAGGAGTTAGTTTTGGCTATGGCCTAATTTATCATTCGCTGTTGAATTAATTCATAAGTTCGCAATGATCTGTTTTTCAATAATACACCTGTCACCCAGTGGAAGAAGTTAACTTTGGCTATATATTAATTTATCATTCACTGCTGAATTTAGTTAAAAGATCGCAGCGATAGATCTTTCAATAATAAACTTGTTACTTAGTATAAGTCAATTATGGCTATGGACTAATTTATCATTCGCTGTAGAATTAATTGAAGTTAATTTTATGTTACATGAAATGATTTATCTCTTAATCTTGCATTTATCGCTTAGCAAAAGAAGTTAACTTCGGCTACGGACTAAATATTATGTGCTATAGAATTAAGTTAAGTAGAGTTCATTTTAAATTACAAGGACGAAATCATTTGTCTTCCAGTTCATAACCCATTTGTCGCCTAGTGAAAGAATTAAACTTTGGCTATCTATTAATTTATCATTTGCCGTTGAATCAAGTTAACTGTAGTCAATTTTAAGTTACAAGACCGAAACGATCTGTCTTTCGGTTCAATAACACATTTGTCGCTCAGTAAAAGAATTCAACTTTGGCTATGCATTAATTTATCATTCGCTGTTGAAGTAAGTTAAGCTAATTTTTAAGTTACAAGACCGAAATCATCTATCTTTCAATTTCAATAATCTATTTGTCGCTTATTAAAAGAAAGTTAACTTTAGCTAAGTATTCACTTATCATTTGATGTTGAATTAAATCTAGCTAATTTTAAGTTACGAGGTCGAAATGATCTATCTTTCAGTAATATATTTTTAGCTTAGTGAAAGAAGTTAATTTTAGCAATATATTAATTTATCATTTGTTGTTGAGTTAAGTTAATTTCAAGTTACAAGATCGAAATGATCTATCTTTCAATAATACATTTGTCGCTTAGCGAATTAAAGAAGTTAACTTTCACTATGTATTTACAGTATTTATCTATCGCTGTGGAATTAAGTCATTAAGATATGACTGTCCTGAGTAGAATGTCAATTAGGATTATCAGAACTCTCATTTGTACAGCATGGTGTGCGGGTTTTGTTAGTCCTTCAATAATACACCTGACGTTTAGTAAAAAAAATTAACCCTAGCTATGGACTAATTTATCATTGGCTGTTGAATTAAGCTTAGTTGATTTAAAGTTACAGGGCCGAAATGAAGTGCCTTTCAAGAACTAATCCATTTGTCACTTGGTAAAAGTAGTCCACTCTAGCGGTGGATTAATTTTTCATAGGCTGTTGAATTAAGTTACAAGATCCACAGGCTAAGGTGTAATATTCTCTTACCAAATTAGAAAACAATTCGGCGACACGCGTACTACATGCGCCCATCCTTTATTGCATTATTGCGCCTGTTGAAAGACTCATCAACAATGATAGTTTTAGCAAAATAGTTCCGCTGTTGTTTGATAGACAATGATTCAAGTTGAAAAAGGGTTAACTAGCGGCAATAGATCAAAGCAAGTGTATAACAAATAGCAATAAAAGTAAAATAAATGGCTTATGTTATGCAACTCAATTTGCAAGACAACAACAAATATAGCTTTGACTACCTGTCGCGCCGCACATTTCTTATTCAACTACTTTTACAATGAGCAACAAGACTTTTAATTTGACATCAAGTCAAGTAAATTACCAATGACGTTAAATCAATTATTCTCCGGTGATCTACAAGTGCTTTCTAACTTATACAACAACAACAATCCAATGCCGTATGGGCAAGGAGTTGCGGAAAAAATCACAAGGCAACACTATAAAAAGAATAACGTTACGGTACTTCTGTCTTTGCCTAGTCTAATTTTATCATCACCCTATACAAGTATAGTCGTCCATTTTACTGACCTATGTATTCTGAGTAAAAAGGATGCTAATAGAATGGATTCAATTATTTTATCCTATCTTTGGATATTCTTCATTCAATTAATTCAACATGAAAATTTAACGTCATTATTGAATGTATACGACATGGACTATAATGCCCATTTGATAATATCATGTAATAATTAAAGTCATATTTTAGCTACGACATAAGTTGTATTACCGTAGATTGCCGTTATGTAATTTCTGCAATTAGGAAATCATAATATGTCCATGTGTACGTATTGTTCTGCACTTTCATGATGCTCTACAGACATAGGGTGTCCTTGTCATCAAAGCCTATAAATCATGCGTAACGTTGATTAAACGATTCCTATTTTCACATTTTTATAAATATCCAACATTAATCCCCACATGGATTGATTGGCAATAAGATTGGCGCCAAGATCGATCGAAAATTCGCGCCACGATTGATTAAAACACAATTCTTGAATAACATTTACCCTCTGGTAATACAATCAATCGCCCATCAAATCAATATTAGTAATCAAGTTTATTTAACAGGTTGCGGTAGCACAAAGTGATACTTGACGATCGTCCAAATGGACGACAAGTAAGTTTATTGATTTTGAAATGAACATGACTATAAACTAAAATATTCACTCTAGTAAGAAATGAACCAAGTTAGAAGATAGCAATCTTGTAGAGAAGCAAATTGAATCGCTTTTATGTATTGCATTAGTCACCATTTCAAACAATCATGTTAGAAACAATATGACTAAAGCAAGTCTAGTGAAAGTAGAACCATAGTAAATTAGATTATGATTTTTGTTTATAAATCCTCATGGTAGAGAATTGTAAACTTAATTAAAAATCAATTCTAAGCCGTTATTCATAATGACATCAAACAAATTCTCGTCTATTGCAAAGCTTACAAACCTAATTGGTAGGATGTCCAAATAAAAAGAAAGTCAAGAGGCTAAGGTGTTACCAATTCAACGATATTGTTTTTCAACAAGATGCCTTAGTTTTGCCAATGTCTGTCGCTACAATCGACATGAGACTGGTAAAGATAATTGACGATGTCAAATTATCTAGCCAACAATTCTAATATTATTGAAATCACTCTTGACATAAACTGTCAACGGACAAATAGTTTTGTCTATCAATGAGTTCAAAGCTAGCAGACAGGTTTCTTTAAATTATCACGTCAATAAGCAAACAATTGCTAGACCATTCTTTTATTCTACAGGTTAATAGCAACTCCTTCAATAGTTAACCGTGGTTATTTTAGTCCTATTTAATATCAAAATTAAGGAAATTTAAGCTTTCTAGTAAGTAATCACCACTGAATAGGTACATGGAGTACTTCGACAAGTCACTATTGTGCCATAATAAATACGATTCTTTTAGGCTTTTAATTGTATACCTTGAATCATTGTATATGTATTTCTAGCTTTTGCCAGTATATCAAGAGACAGTAAACGATGGTTAATATTTCTCAAAGTTGGATGCTAATAATTTTTAAATTACTTACGCATTAACATAATGGCTACTATGTGATAATGATGTGGTACAGCAGATGTCCTAAAACTGAAAATGAGCTGAAACAATTAACAAGCTGAAAGATAAGATTCTATTCCTAATAGTCGCTACGCTAATAATTATTAATCATGGTGAATAGGCGAATAAAGCAATTCATGAAGTAAAATATGATTAATGCTCTAGTTTTTTAGGGGCGTGTAATATTGTATTAGTGCAGTTTTTTTAAATACCCCAAGCATGAATAAATCCTTCTATATGCATTTCTTCCTATTAAATCACAGAAATCAACTGATCGAATACAGTAACCTTAGATCCGGAGACTAGTACATTGATACTTAGCATTTTAAAATGAAAGCTAAAAAATATTTTTATAAAACATTCGATAAAAATCTTGGAACAATCAGTACTATTACTATCTCCAAAGTCATAAGAAAGAGCTATACTGTATTGAAAATAATCCTAAACAGTAGAAAAGAAGATAAATTATCGTTCAAGCAATTTTAGGCGGGATTTATTTTTTCACTTGATGAACTTAGCGAACTGCTCTATAATGCATATTGTTTCTCTGATGGATGCACTTGACAACGTCGGGTGTTGATCAATGTGCTTTATTAATGGCAATAATAAACTACTTGTTCAGTCGACATAGAAGCAACGGCCCTTGGGCATAATTCATGAACCTCTAGTAATATTTGTACGATGCTGGATTTCTATCAGTACCGCAGAAACAATAGCAATGATAAAGGCTTCATAGCCACTCTCGAAGCCCTTTATAAATTTGCTTCTATTCAT